GAGAGAAGCAACGATGTCAATCATGCAAAACTTCGATGTTTCGAGTCTAATATTTCAGAGATACGGGTAATGTCGACATTCTGGATAATAACATAACGCACACTACAGCACTCTGCTCATTTTCCAGGCACTGACGTCAGAGCTTAAAGAACAATCGGCCTTGCTGCACACTACGCGAGCCGAATTGCAGCGTTTGAAACAACCATTAACCGCAGCCGCTCGCTCTGCCTCTACGAACTCTCGTCCTCCGCCAGCGCTTATACCTCTAGGCGCAAACGAAATGAAGCAGAGTTGTAACGCCAGCACAGAGAGTCAATCTAAGCAGACGAAAAGAAGCCAACTGGAAGATCTGATAAGAAAGGTTCACAAACTTTATATTTTCTTAATTTTTATGTAATCGCGCAATTACACATCTCTTTTGAATAAATAGGAACCAATGCAGCCTTCCAATATGAATCGGGACGTTCAAGCGTTAGATCAAAACAGTCAAAGGAGCTCCGGTTCGCAAGCTAGTCATACCAGTACGCCGGCAAATATCTGGCCATCCGCCGCTGGAGGTACATATTTTCTTTATTATTTGTTATGTACTACGATGATACAAAACAACTCTTAATCTTATATATTTTGTATAGGTGAAGGAGCTTCCAACGAGCAAAGCATAGATGGTGTATCTACGTCAGAAAATTTATTGGATATCGGTCCACCTGCTGCTATCGAGAATGGCGGAGTTGTGGGAAATTTATGGGCCTGCCCCATACCACCTCCGTCTATTAATCAAGGACAACCTGGTAAAGTGTCACCTTAAAGACTTTTTAAAGTTGAAAGAAAAAGAAGTTTGAGATGTGTTTCTTTCGTTGTAGCCACGGTCGAGTATTATCGGCAGTTATTACTGGGTTCGCAAGCCCATCAGTTGCAAATGATGGGTACAACGATGCAACAGTGCTATCAGCTTCTGTGGACGCAGCAACGCGAATTGTACACCATGCGCGCTGCCATTACCGATCTGCAGATGCGAACGCAAAATCAGGCCCCGCAACGCGTCAACAACGCTGAAAGTCAGGAGGAACATTCTAATCTGGGCCGTAGCGTTCACAATCTCGGCGATACGTTGGACGCGACTTTACCTCTCAGCTCGTCCTTACCAAATCTCGTGTCGCTACCTAATTCCTCAGCAGTGTTATCGCACACTTCGATAGTTAGCTCGAACTCGCAGCAGCAGCAACAGCAGCAACAGTTGAACAATCAGGTTCCTCCTGGTAATAGAGCGAACAACTACTGGGACAATTTTCGAAGGTAAAAAGATTGACTCATAAATTGACGAATATGTGTCTTGTTAGTTTTTGATTCATTAATGAATTGGTTTTAATATAATATTTGCGTATGTATTGTAAAACGGTAGACTTGTGAAAAAGACAGATATTTTATTGCGTACATCTACTCTTTCATAATTAAATTTTTATTTGACTATAGAGTTTTCTAAAAAATATCAAATCCGATTTCAAGTGTGATTACTGTAACAGAGGAAGACACACATGGAATATTAGTAAAATTTGAATCACTGAATTCAGTGTATCAATAATCAGGTGTTACAGCATTAGAAAGTGTATAATTCCATATTTTTTTGTACTTTACATTTGTCCATAATATTTCGTAGTTGCCAGATTGATCGCATCCATCTCCCATTTTTCTGTAAATCTAATGTATCGCATTTCACTTAGTAATAAACATCACAATCTACCTTTGCAACACTTTTTGTCTTATACTTCTTACTTATCATTTCCCTTGTTTAAGATTGTATTAAACACGTATAGACTATATTATAAATTCGATTACATAATCCGGTGGTTACGAACGAAAATAAGTAAGGAAAACGATTGTTGTGGTAGGTAATACATAGGTATGTAAATGGATTTTATGAGATTTGGACAGGACACGTATCAATGTAAATCTTTCGATGACTAATATCAGTGCATGTAATAACAATGGTTGTGTTAACATTGAAATTTTTTTGCGAATTAACCGCGGTTTCAAGCGGGATCCTTCTTTAAAATTTTGTAATACAACTTTTTGTGATTAACGATTGGCAATTGACTTTGATCTGCGAATTTTTGTCTCGATATTACATATATTTTTTTTAATTTTCAGTTATTCCCGACAGAATCTGCTCTCGGGAAATGTGAAGACAATGACTGATGTTCCGACGGCTATAGGAAGCTCGGCGTGTTCCGCAAACACGGCTAATACAAGCGGAAGCAGCGTTAACAGTTCGTTAATGTACGCAATATAAAGTTAATTACATTCACAATCAGAATATATCTTTTCTTTATGTAATATCTTTTATTTGCTTCTAGAAAAGATAAGCGGAATCGAGAGCAAGGTTCTGACAACTTACCTTTACCGTTAACCGGTGCGGATACGCAATATTCATTGAATTTACAATTGCCGTCGAATTTACAACAACAGGACAGAGAAAATGCTACTATCCGCAGTAACATCATAGCAAATGAAGTGTCTCAACAAGTCGATAGCCTTTGGGAGGAAGCTCACAGTTCTTTTCGATTACCGTCTGCGATGAACGATGATAATCTCTTTAATAATCTAAGGTTTGAATTCTCATTTTTTTAAATTATTAAGTGCAATTATTTTGCGTAGTTTTTATATATAAATGTGTTCTCGATTTTACAATGAACAGTTCAGAAATGAAGGAGGCAATCAGTTCGCTCGTCACGGCGAACAAACGACGGCCCGATTACTTAATAATTATTTTGCGAGAGATCAAGGCTGTTAGCGAAGATCACAGACTGCGGCCTCATTTGTTAAGATCGTTACGTGCTTTACAGGACAAGCAAACCTTAAATAATCCCTTGGTTGGTATATAATCCGCAGAGTACAATATGTACGTTTCTAAATCATTTCGTAAAGTATAAAATTAACTGTCAATTAACATTCTTCGCAGAACGAAGCACCTGACTTAACTGCAAGCGAAAGTTGTCAGTCTAGCGACGAAGACTCAGATGTCGGTGCGACCTTTACTTTGGAAAATCACACGTCTATGATGGAATTGGTCGCGACATCTCACGTAGACACTGCCTCTTCTCCCGCTTCGTCTCAATTACCACTAATAGAACATTTGGAAATAACGGTAAATAATAATGTCAACAGGATGACGAGAGGAGACCTCGAACACAATATGTCACACAGTTGTTTATCTAAATTATAACTTCTGATATCGTTAGGGCGCCTTTCCACTTGACTCTGCGAGTACTGTCCCTTCTGCTCCTAACGCTAAACCTGGTTATAACGAGGACTTGGCAGAAGCTGATCAATCAAGACCGGAAGCTTCGGGAAATCAAAAAGTATGCCTTCTTTTGCATTTTTAAATTTTTCTCGAAATTAAACGAATGGCAAAGTGGATACTGAATACGCTGTATGTTATTCCAGCTTCCCATTAGCAATATAGATAACGAAGAAGGGCAAGAAGAAGCAGCGTCTTATCCGATTACCGCAGAGGCAGCTACTCCCGATCTTGAAGGTCTGGCTGCGAAGACTGAAGACGAAAGAGCGGAGGATACTGGACTTGACAGTTTTTTCAGATTGCGTGATTAGATGGAGTGTTTAGATTGCATCTGTTAATCACGATGTGATACAATGACATTTTAAGCGCGATATTCAAAAGAAAGTGGACACGTACCGTAATCTTTGATAAGATATTGATTTACTACTGCTTCCGTATACAAAAATATTAACTAACATATAAACGAAGTCTGATATGCATAGTAAGAGTTATTAAAACTTAGAGGCTCGCTAATATTGCAGTTTAAACGGATACAGGCAGGAAAGATCAGTTATAAAATTAAGTTTGCATCGTATAAAACATGTATCACGCCAATATATGCAATAGATGTATACATATACATATATTCTCGAGTTATAAAATTGACGGGCAATGCGAACGATGCAGATGCAATGTAGATATTGGCAGCTGAGTGAAACCCCATAAGGTTTAATTATCTAATGTATCATTTATAATTATGTATTTAAACAATGATTTATTTATAAGAAAAAAAAGTACCTGCTTTTTCATTTCAAAATCTGTCTATTCCCAAGTCGAAAGGGCTAGTGTAAGCAGCCTGTTCTAGTCCGGCAATTAATAATCTTCCAACTGCACAATCGAGGACTCGCAAGACTTTCGAGGCCCTCGGTCAATAAGCTGTTTGAGTTTATTGTTTTTCTCTTTAAAACGATTGCGTATCTAACAGTTTGACGATTGCGAGGGATTAAACATAAGATTGAAAAATGAAAGACGCATACAATATCAAGTTAGTGTCAATGCGGATTTATACATATGTATATGTATGTATGAAATTTGATGGTATAAATTAGATTTTATTGTTCGCTTTAGTATAAAATAATTTACTTGGCGTGGACGAAATTGTATACGCTTCATGGCGGTGAAAGTGTTAATTCTCTGTGTATCGTAACCATAGACATAGAAGATAGACCCAATATACGTGTTCCCAACGTGTCACCAACTTAACAGACAGAGAGGCAAAATAGAGTGGCCGCAGGAGGCATGAGAGGGAGCGAGAGACAAAATATTGTCTTGCGCAGACAATGTTTTGTCTCTCGCACACTTTTTCTTAGCAGTGAGAAAATTTCTTGGTTTTGAATTATACGCGCCTGTTGATCATTATCGACCTAGCGGACTAATCAGGCCGATAAGTCAGGGTACTACTATTACCCAACGAATTAATACATTCACTGGACTGACTCGAGTAGCCATACCATTGATACTGGACATTATACAAGAGAAAGATCAAGAAATTGTATATGAAAAGATATTCTAAAAGCTATTTTACTGTGAAGATATGATTTAACTGTCTATATGTCATGGCATTGTTCATTAAATTTTCTAGAACACGTTTGGAACAGAATGAGAAAAAATACGATACTAATTAGATATAATAAGATATAGGATTCAATTGCAACACGGCCTAGGTTAGACGTAATAAACTTTTTGTGTCTATATCACAGATATTATCTTCGATCCATGAAGACAACGAGAATTAATTGAGGAGAGTTCAATATTTGAGTTGGTTAACCTAAACTATATCTATGTGAAGGGCCATGTAATCTTGAATGAATGGTGATCAAATAATTTCTCCATGAATGTTTTTAGAACGTACAATAGATGTTCGATTTTCGGTAAGAGAAGAGATAGCTACGCATTCAAGCTAACGTGATTGAAAAAACGACGCAAATGTTTCTATTCAGAAATTTTCACGAGCTAAATCTGAAATTTTTGTCGTTTGTAAATGAGATATTAGCAGCAAGTTGTCACTGTAATGTCATTTGCTAATCTTGCAACTCGTACATACGTATATAAGCCAGATCTAATTTCAGAAATACAAAGATCTTTCGGAATTTAAAACACGCGATTTGTGAGCGGCTACCGCTTATGTTGATGATTCTACTTCACGATTAAAAACAATGATGCTTTATAAACATCTAATGTGAGACAAAACAAATTGTTAGACCAAACTATAGTTGACAACGAAAAACTATCAATTTTCAAATTAATGTCGCTTTGAAACTATACAAATGTGAATGCAATTTTAAAAAATATCTAGAGATCCAATTTCTTGAATAGCTATCTTGACATTCGTATAGAACTTTTCTGAAAGGATGTCTGAAAAAAAAAGGAAGTTATTGCGAAGAGATCGTTTCATCGTGCGTAACGATTGGGGCCCTGAAAAGGGCCAGTTTAGTGTCAGAAGTAGAGTAGTCAGAAAATTATTTTTTCGCTGCCTTTCCGGACTTGGTAGCTGCTGCCTTGGTAGTTTTCGGTTTTGGCGTCTTGGTTTTTGCAGCCGGGGCTTTGGTAGCCTTCTTGGTCTTGGACAGAGTCTTGGTCTGAGCAGCGGCCTTTTGCTTCGCTGCGGCCTCGATCCTCTTCGACGCCGCTGTCTTGGCGGTTTTCTTTGCAGATGCGGACTTCTTATCAGCCGTTGTCTTTCTAGTCTCGGATACCTTCTTCGTCGCAGGCGCTTTTTTCGTTACCTTCTTCTCGGTAGCCTTCTTGGTATCCGCGATTGGTTTCTGCGTGACACGCTTAACCTTACTGCTCTTCGGTGCAGGCTTGGTGGTAGAGAGCTTGAACGAGCCTGACGCACCCTTCCCCTTGGTCTGCACCACTGCGCCAGACGTGACAGCTGCCCTCAGGTATCTCTTGATAAAGGGAGCGAACTTCTCGCCGTCGATTTTATAGGTCGAGGCGATGTACTTTTTGATGGCCTGCACGGATGAGCCCTTGCGGTCCTTCAGCTCTTTGATGGCAGATGTGACCATCTCGGAAGTCGGCGGATGCGTCGACTTCGGGCGCTGCGCCTTGGCTTTCGACTTGGCGCTCTTCTTCGCAGGCGTTGAGGCGGCCGAGCTCTCCGTAGCCGCGGTATTGCCAGATGCGTTCTTATCCTCCATAGCGATTCGCGAGAGACAGATTTGCGGACGTTCAAAGACGAAGTACAAATATAAACTTCCGTTCTAAACGCTCACAGATGACGCTATCCACGCTGTGAATTTCACGAGTGGCCGGGACGCGCGCTACTTGTACTGTGAGCGCGTACCATGGAGAGAGGCCCTCCCAATGTTGCAGGTAGCAAGCCGCCGGGAATGAAAGAGCGCCCGGCAATTGTTCATTGTTTAAACGCTATTTTGCACAATAAAGCCCGTGCGTTTGCCGCGCGGGATCGTAGAAGCGAGTAGCTAGTTTCATTTGGCCCGCACTTCGGCGATCCCCCGCGCCGATTATCGCGACTTTCGCGCGGTTCCGTGCGGCGCGCGCCTCCGGTTCGTTCGCGGGGCTCGATTCAATCCGCGAAATAAGTTAATAAACAATTTAATTGTCAGTGCACAGCGCACTTATGCGGCTCACGGAACGTCGTGATAGCCGTGCTAGCCGACCGCGAGCGTTTACCCCGAGCGAAGCGCCCGATTCGCGCTAAATATCCCAAGTTTTGCGGGTGGCCGAATACAAGCGTTAGTGCCGCACAAAGTGAATACCGATTACAATGTACATTTGCAGACAATTTTACGGAATAGTGTAAAATGCCATTATCGACCGGGAGGGGCACGGATATTGTTGGGCTGCAATATTACGTGCCTAATCGCGAAATTTTCTCGTGGAATATCGTATATACGCCAAGGCGGCCCCCTGTGACACGCCGATCGCTCCCGCGCGGTTAAACCTTACTGTTACAACGAACCGTGTAACCAGATAACGAAATAACTCGCGGGGACTCGCGACGATGAAAAATAACGTTCGGCCAACGTTAAACGCCCGCGGCACGCTCGTTTTTCCCCAAATTCGCGAGCGCGGGGTGCAATCTCGTCCCCTAACTCACCCCCGATCCGCGAGCCGTGCGACTGAGGGTACGTAAAAGCCGTAACCCAGTGCTATTTCGCGAGCAACCGCGGACGACGCGGGTGCCTTTGCATCCTGAAATCGAAATCGATCTCAAGTTCCCGTTCTTCGAGCTTCATACGACTTTTTCACGTCGGATTAACGTCCTAGCAACGAGCAGGGGGGGCTTGTTCGCAGCGCGCGCGGTCAAGTCTCCCTGCGCGCGACAGCATTACTTGGATTAGTACTTACAAAATTGTGTCGCAGGCACACGTCTTCGTATGCCTTGCGTCTTCGTCGAATTTATAACGAGAAACTTATCGCTCTGAGCGTGGAAACAGATTTTCTCGAGCGTTATCTGCATTTCGAAGTTAACGGGGTCGTAGTCGTACGAGAGACGCTCGGTGAAACTGAAATGCGCGGCGGTTTATATTTATATATAATTCGCGTTGTATTGTAGAGTTTAGAAGTGAAGATTGGCCCCTTGGACAGAGATTAATAGCGTTTTCGATTTTCTGACTCGACCCGACCCCGAGTCAGACAAGTTTGATCAAAAGCAAGATTTCAACCGCAATTTCTGCAAAAATCTTACTTTTGATCAAACTTTTCTGACTCGGAGTCGGGTCGAGTCAGCAAATCGAAAACGCTATAAGATCGCTATCCAATTCCGAGTCTCTCTTGCGTCCTTATTCCTGTCCCATTCTTTCGAGGTATCGTTATGCTCTCCTGACGCGTAATTCTGCGGGACCTCCTAATTAAATAATTTCGCAGCTAATGTGTCGATATGCGCGCGTGGAATTTGCCTTGTTACAGCTGTTATATAAAAAACAGGTATATCGTTTGCATGATTAAACTTTACGAAATGTTTATGAAATATTAATGTCACGCTTGACGACGTTACGCCTGCGAACTCTCAATTATGTTTCGTACGTGCTACATTTGCCGTAAAGACAGGAACGTGTAATAAAAGAAAATATGGATCCGCGCATGTACTGATTTTGGGCGCGAGTACTTGGCCAAATGATAGCATCGAAAGTTAAATAATATTAAAAGCTGCGCCGCATTGATTTTTGTTTTATAGGTTAACGTGTACGTCTGAAATAGTTTCATGATCTCCCCCCGACGACACTTGTACTCATCATTCGTGTTTAATATCAACTCCTTGATATATAATTTCCCAGAACAACACCCTAGTCCGAGCTGTTTGCAATTTCGTGAAAAATATGCATCTGAAATTGTACTTGTGTCGCTAAGAAAGCACGTTGTTTCATTCGATCTGCAAGGACGTTGCAACAGATTGTTATCACTATTTTACAGTTTAACTGGTTAAAAGGAATAAAAAGGTAAAGTTACGAGCAAGCCTAGCTTAATTGAGATACAAATGCATTACACCTCGCAATGTTCAAGATAGGTTAGATATCTGGAATATTTTAATGGACATTTTAATGGAACGAACAGATTGGTAAAACTCGCAGCTAAGAAGAGGACTGAAACAGAATTAAAATGTTTCTCGATAACAAGTAGCAATATTTTCGGAGATAAATCTGCATAAAAACTGAAATGCTTTACCATGTTACTTCGAAATCTCCACGCTCTCAATCTAGATCAAACATATCTTATCTTATGCGGAATTATCAGAAAATGCGATTATGATTCGCGCTTGACATTTGACATTAAGTACGATATTTTCCATTTGCTTCTCTCATCTGCTTTATATAATTAACTTTAAGACTTTATTCAATGCCCGCGCAAGTTGAGAACTGTGTGAATTTTAATTCAGAACGTAAAATAAGTAAACATACCTAAATAAATATTTTATCAAATTTAACAAAACGGACTCGACGAGCAATGTCAAGTGAATATTAAAAAGTGTCAGTCTTATTATCATATTAGTGATTTAATTTTTTTTTCAAATTGAAACATTCAATGTTTGTTCTAAGACTATTTTAACAGCTACTCTACTATCCAGTGAGAAATGATTCGTCGATCGACGTCGAAATGATGTCGAATCGACGTCAATTCGACGGTGTCGATGTCGATGTCGATGTCGAATAGAATAAAAATCCTAACAAAATGCTCTAATGCCTATACGTGTATTAAAATGTTGGATGCAAGAGATAATTAACGTGCGACGTTAATTATCTCTTGCATCCAACATTTTAATACACGTATAGGCATTAGAGCATTTTGTTAGGATTTTTATTCTATTTATAAGTAAATATATATTATATAGATCGTTTTTCTTCGCAAGCCGTTCGCGTTGTTGCGGTACACATTGGAAAAGAAAATTCTTCAATCTCTCTTTACTACTAATTTATCGCTGCTATATAAAATAAGGCAGGGGAGCAATACATGCATTTCATATTCTCATTACGCTAAACATCGCACGCGAGAGCTACTCTTTAGAGACACGTAAAAGGGAGGGTAGTACCAGTCGGCAATCGGTAGGTGGCATCACGCACGCCGTAGCAGTCTCTCCCCACCACTGGTGCACCGACCAATCGCCGTCGAGCAGATGTCTCGTCGGGCCAACGCCGGATCTATAAAAGCCTGCGTAAAACTGTTGTTCCGCTTACTTTCCTGCTGATCGTCACCCTGGCAAGTTCACGCTCATCGATTGGAGATGGCACGTACGAAGCAAACTGCGCGCAAGTCTACCGGAGGCAAGGCTCCCCGGAAACAACTGGCGACTAAAGCGGCTCGCAAGAGCGCGCCTGCCACGGGCGGAGTGAAGAAGCCTCATCGCTACAGGCCCGGGACCGTAGCTCTTCGTGAGATTCGTCGTTATCAGAAAAGCACGGAGCTGCTGATCCGTAAATTGCCCTTCCAGCGTCTCGTCCGCGAGATCGCTCAGGATTTCAAGACCGACCTGCGTTTCCAAAGCTCGGCCGTCATGGCGTTGCAGGAGGCCAGCGAGGCTTATCTCGTCGGTCTGTTCGAAGACACCAATCTCTGCGCTATTCACGCCAAGCGCGTCACCATCATGCCCAAAGATATTCAGTTGGCGCGTCGTATCCGTGGAGAGCGTGCTTAATCAAGAAACTTCACGTAACCGGCCCTTTTTAGGGCCACCAATATTTCATACGATGAATCGTCTTTCTTCGCTTACGTATTTTCCATGTTTTACAATTAAGTTTTCTTTTTTTATACTTTTAAGTTCGACAATTCTATTAATATGAATTATACGCATTATTTATTAATTCCATCGAAAACTGATCTTTTAAGATAAAATATCCTTTCGAATAACGAATGTAACTGAATCGTCAGTTATAGCGAATTCGGTTGCTCGCACTAGTGAACACTGAGTGCACACTAAGGCTCGTATACTCAATTCTTATATTTAACTTCGTCTTAGGCCGGTATTCATAGTCGATTCTTATTTCGGTATCATCTTAAGTGTTGTCTTAAGACGCTAATACGGCTCTGTGATTGGTTGAAAACACATTAAGAGTATACTTAAGATGATCTTAAATATAAGAACGGACTATGAATACCGGCCTTAAATACACGTCGAAAAAGTATTAACTAAAAAAACGATCCGCACGGATGCTTTACAGATCATTTCGCTGGCTAAGAAATATTTCAAGAGATATCTAAGACGAGCCTTAGTGTGCATTCAGTGCACACTAGTGCAAGCAATCGAATTCGCTTTAAGTTCGATAATTCTATTAATATGAATGATACGCACTGTTTATTAATTCCATCTAAAACTGATTTTTTAAGACAAAATATTCTTTCGAATAACGAATGTAACTGAATCGCCAATTGGACTAATATTAGTAACATGTAAATACTATAGCGTTAAACGACTTTCAGGGTAATATTGCTTGTAAAGTTACGCCAATAAATTTTACGACCTTTATACAAATTATCTCGTTACATTCCAATTGTCTTTAGACTGAAGAATACAAAGCGTTACTTATTTCCTTGAATATATATATATATTTGCAAAATCGATTTCTAAATTTTCTTGAAAACTATCCGTTGGACGACTTCGATAGCTGTCAAAATAGCCGCGCCGCTGACAACTCGCAGCACGAAGTGAACTAGTAAATAAGAGAATCTAATCAGCATCGCGGAAAAGGGGAAGCAATAAATTCCATTCGATTTGAGACTTTTTAAAAATGTATTATTCTTTCCGTCAGATGCGACTACGCGGCGCACCTTGCGCCGACCGCATCATCCATAGGCGCACGTTTGCGCCTAACCTCCCTAACCTCCAAACTCGTACACTCTATCTTTTACCTACTCGGTTCGCAATGTTTCATTCGCGTTTGACTGAGTTTTATCGAAAGCTTTACGCAATCAATATGGCCATAGCAGCTGATCGTTTGTAACATTGCGTGTATAAATCATCTGTATACATCGGTCATGAATGTAAGCATGCAATGAACGAGACGAGAATGTTTTTTTTACAATACATCAACATTTGATTATTCGTAGCAGTGAAACAGTTATCGTAGAATAAACGCGAGGAGGAATTTAAAGCCTTCAAATTGCACATACTATTTTATACAAGTAATGAAAATGACATTTGAAATTTCTCGGAGCGTTGAAACTGCCGAAAATTTGCAGTTACGTTTTACATCGATGCACAAATGCTAAATTTAAGTATCAGATCGAAGCAATTGCACAATTCGACTCGAGAATTGCACGTTATGCATTTTCTCGACGACTCTCTTTTACCATTCGTACATTTATACAATCTTTCTATATTAATGAATGATTTATTGTCGCGTGTATTCACTTATCAAGTACATACAAGGTGCAGTTTGTAAATGCGAGCAAAATTGTTCCAACGTATGAAGGATTTGTGGCCCTGAAAAGGGCCGATTTGATCGAAGAGTCCACCGCTCTTCCCTTAACCTCCAAAGCCGTACAGAGTTCTGCCTTGGCGCTTCAGGGCGTATACAACGTCCATGGCAGTCACGGTCTTCCTTTTCGCGTGCTCGGTGTAGGTGACGGCATCGCGAATCACGTTCTCGAGGAAGACCTTGAGCACGCCGCGAGTCTCCTCGTAGATCAAGCCGGAGATACGCTTGACGCCGCCACGCCGCGCCAGACGACGGATTGCCGGCTTGGTGATACCCTGGATGTTATCGCGAAGAACCTTCCTGTGACGCTTCGCTCCTCCTTTTCCCAATCCCTTTCCTCCCTTACCGCGACCAGTCATCTTGAACTTCTAAGAGATAGAGGCGACAATCGGCTGGCACGAGAACAGACCGAATGATGCCGAGAACGCCGGAGCGGCCGCTCTTATAGTCGCCGAGTCGGCCTCGCCCCACCACGGCGACGTCAGCCAATCGGAGCGCACGCCCGGTTCGCTCGACGCCGCCTGCACGCTCGCGTCCAAGACAATATACCGCTTTTCAACAATTGTTCATCCACTCAATATGCAATGCAAAAAGGTACTTATACGTATTTTTTTGCGCGCTTGATTCCGATTAGTATTGCGAGAAGTACGGCGGGTGCAGAGCGCGAGAAACATTCGTTTACATGATCGTCCAATGTGGTACGAGCCGAGTCTGTCTCTAACGTGCAACAAATCTTGCCAGCGGTTACCGTTTTAAGACGATTCAATATCGGCTGGCGATGTGCGATAAGCTGTGCGAGAATGTTATTTAGATTCGACATTTAAATATCCTCGTCGCGTCAGCGGCACGCCGGGAATTACTGCGTTTTCTTCTCGAACCCGCCGGGTAAAATGTGCAATTGTCCGCTGTCTAGTGACAAAGTCGGGTCCATATTTTAATCGCGGAATGTTAATAAATGAAATTGAAAGCATTGAGCGTACACGCAGCAACTGCTGCATTAAAGCAGTTGAAAAGGAAAAGGATCTTTCGCCGAAGGAACGAGGGAGCGAGAGGCAACGTGAATCCGCTCGGCGGCGAGGAGCGTCGACCAATGGCGTCGCGGCGCGGCAGTGGTCGAGCGCTCCTGGCGCGCGATTGGTGCACGCCAGCGGACACTTTTCTCTATATAAGCTCGCGCACGGAGCGGAGCCGGTCATTCGAGCTTCGAGTTCGCCACGGTGCATTCGACGTACGAGAACCTTTGAAAAGATTGACCATGCCACCGAAGGCTAGCGGCAAGGCGGTGAAGAAGGCCGGCAAGGCCCAGAAGAATATCAGCAAGACCGACAAGAAGAAGAAAAGGAAGAGGAAGGAGAGCTACGCTATCTACATCTACAAGGTGTTGAAGCAGGTCCACCCGGACACCGGGATCTCCAGCAAGGCGATGAGCATCATGAACAGCTTCGTCAACGACGTCTTCGAGCGCATCGCGGCCGAGGCGTCTCGCTTGGCCCACTACAACAAGCGCTCCACGATCACGTCGCGGGAGATCCAGACTGCCGTGAGGCTTCTCCTGCCCGGCGAGCTGGCGAAGCACGCCGTTAGCGAGGGAACGAAGGCGGTCACCAAGTACACGAGCTCTAAGTGAGCTGCTACTACGAAAAGAAAAACCGGCCCTTTTCAGGGCCATTCAATGTCTCGTAACGCTGGATATTCTCGCTCGGCAAATCCTTTCCGTTTCCCCGTGAAAATATGCACCCTTCGATTTCCTGGCCGGAAGGTTGTTGGTCTTGGCGTGTCGTTTTTGTCCAACGTTTATTTCTTTCCATCGCAAAACGAACTTGTTTTTTTGCAAATGTCAAATGTAGAGGTTGGACATGAGACATGAATTTTCGATCGAGTTGTTGCTACACAAAAGAAATGTCTGAGAAGTTTTAATGCTAGTCGGAAAAACGTCAGAAAATGTTGGCGAGTTTCTTGTTCACGATATGTATCAGTCCTGTCTCGGTCCAATTTAACGCTTCTACGCATTGAACGTTAATAGAAATATTTAATCTAATTCGAGATGCAATATTTCGATGAACCGCGTGCACATGGATTATTTATCCAGTAGGTTCAATTTAATATGCATATTGCTGTATTTTTATGTACAATTGTGCGGCATAAGTTGTATGCATATCCGTAGGTTAAAAATTAGACGTAAAATGTAACAAGAGGACATGGAGCCGTTAATTTAAACAGTACAGGAACGATTTTCTCTTGAAGATATTAATGAAATAATTCATTCGGTGAGACTGCAAATACATTTTTGCATTACTGTAATTATTAGTTTTTAAAAACTTAACGTAGCGTTCATAACGGCCGCTGTTTCCAACGTCCGTTGGCTTTCAATGCTAACCGAACGTTAACTTTCCGGAATAGCAAGTGGGAATTGACAGTTAATCAGAATAGTTGTTTAATGAATTAATTTCGATAGAAATTGGCAGTCAACGGTCGGTTAGAATTAACGGACGTTGGAAATAGCGGCCCTAAATAAAATGCGAGAAACGCCTCGTCATTTCATCTCGATCGATCGTCGTAGCCGAGTGTGCCCTGGGCCTAAATTCCGTACACGATTACCGACGACCATCGATACGTTAACGACGTTTGCGCAGCTTTTTCTACATTATAGAAAAGCTGCGCAAACGTCGTTAACGTATCGATGGTCGTCGGTAATCGTGTACGGAATTTAGGCCCTGGTGTGCCCGATGCGGACCGCGCGAGCCTAAACAGCCCGATTGAATATTGGCTTGGGTGATGTACGGCTCGAAAAGCCGAGTGTCGCCAAGCTTTTTGAAATGCGTGTGAACGCGCTGCGCACGGCTGCGGATTTGTTCGTTAAATTTTAATCGCGCGTAACGTAAGTATATCAGCAATAAAGTACACGACGTAGATTAGGTTAGGTTAGGTTTCTCGGTATCCTCTTGTCTCTCGATATCTCCGACTATCCGACTTGTACATTTGAAATCGCGCAAGTTCGTCCTTTTTTACTAATAATAATTATAATATATTCGTAGCTAAACAAAACGGAGATTTATTCGCCGGCCTGTTTATAACCTTCCAAAATGTCCGACGACGAGGACTTGGTCTACGTCAAGAAGCAGAAAACTGTGCACTATGGCTCGCTGGAGGAGGCGGAACGTGCGCGACTCGCGGCTGCCGGCGAGTCTGCGGACGAGGAAAAGGATGCCGCGGGCGCGAACGACGCCTCCAACGTTTCCGCCACCGGGGCGAATGTACACATCTCGAACGAGTACATGGAGCTCGAGGACGAGATGTCCAAGGACCGGCAGGCGCTGTTGGAAGAATTTGAACGTAGGAAGAAGGCCAGGCAGATTAACGTTTCGACAGACGACTCCGAGGTGAAGAAGCTCCTGAGGCAGTTGGGCGAGCCGATTTGTCTATTTGGGGAGGGCCCAGCGGATCGGAGGACCAGATTAAGAGAATTGTTAGCCAGCGTGGGGGAGGACGCGATTAAAAAGAAGCACGAGGAGGAAGATAAACCGTCGCACCCACTCGAGAAGGATACGGAGTCAACTTGGTACCACGAGGGCCCGGATTCTCTGCAAATTGCACGATCGTGGATAGCGTGTGAGTCATAATCACATATACGTCGAGTTTCTGCGGTTTAACTTGACCGCCAAGAAGTGGGACTTGGTTTACAGTTGCACTTATGTCCATCCACACTATGCATTCTCATTCATCCGTCCACACTTTATATTATCCTATCCTCGACCTAGTCTGTCCGATCGTATCTCGTCATCCTAGTCGCAGTCTAATTCACTTTCTATCTTGTTCTTGCATCCCCTTTGCCTTTTCAGTTTTTACCTTTTTCTCTGTCTAGCTCGTCATTTCATATCCTAAGTATTTCTCTATTATTCTTCCCTAATTCTGTAAACCATGTTAGTTCACATTCCTCTACAAAGTGTGAGCCATAATTACAAATCCCATGTAAAAATGGAAATGTTTGAATTTTTATTGTCTTTGTATTGTAAGCGTTATCTAACATCTATGTATTTATTGAACTTGCATATATTTGCAGCGTATTCGTTGCCCAGAGCAAAGGCACGGCTGGATAAGGCAAGGCAAGATCTGCTATTACCAGCTGCAACTCGTACAGCGAAAAGACAAGAGCTCTTGAAGAAGTTGCAAGCATTGAGCATTTATTGCTCTCAAATCGGCGACAGGAGACCCATTTCCTTTTGCCAGTTCAGCCCTAATTCCAAAATTCTTGCTACAGCTTCATGGTCGGGCTTATGCAAGCTATGGTCTGTACCCGACTGTACTTTGTTGCGCACTTTACAAGGACACAATTGTAATGTTGGCTGTATTGTTTTTCACCCAAAAGCTACAATAACCGAAGATGTGGTCGGTGATAATGCAGGACAGACTTGCGTACTGGCGTCTTGCGCAGCAGATGGTACGCATATTGTAATAACAATAGTAGCAATAGCTGTAGCAGATAAGATTACGTCAATCTCTAGAGCTAAGAAGTTCCTCTGTTGAGTCCCTGTTCAGTTCTGAGAAATAAATCGTTCAACTCGGCTCAATGTTACGCGTCAGATTTATGAGATTGCTTTCTTTATGGAAAGCGTCCCTCGATCAAGAAATGGAGAACGGAGGGCTACTTTCAGCATCTCTGGTGGTTGAGGCTTTTCGTGATTCTTGTCATAGCCTTGAGATGTTCATCCTGAAGGCTCTTAAGCACATTTCTTGTCTCCATCTTTACTTTAGATCATAAGATCACAAAAGCATACGAGTCAATCTTGGAAACAACATTTTGTATAATCGTAGGGTAATTTTCAACTTTATTTCACAGGCTTTGTCCATTGTTCTTCTACATATTCTCATAAAGGTGCAGAATTTTATCCTTTTTTCCTCGAGGTATAGGCTCCAATCTAATTCGGTGTTTAAGTAGATTCTTAGATACTTTGTCGAATAGGATTATTCACTTTTCACGCCGGAGCTTTAGAGATTCACGTTTGTTTTCCTTCTGATGAGGATCGTGATCGTGGTTTTTGATGAATCAAGTCAAGTTTGGCCTTACGCTAATTTTCTATAATTCACAAAGCTTTATCCATTAGTTCCTTGCGATCCATATTATTATATGCATATATTATAAATTACACCAACTTATTTGATTGCACTAAATTTGATTGCCTAAACTTATAGGTACTGTGAAACTGTGGAGCGGCGGCAACGGCGAAGAACCATTAGCCGAGGTGGAGGGACATGAACCTCACAGAGTCTCCAGGATAGCTTTCCACCCATCTGGACGATTTCTCGGCACATGTTGCTACGATGCATCTTGGCGATTATGGGATTTGGAGCAACAAGCGGAAGTACTTCACCAAGAGGGCCATGCAAGAGCAGTACACTGTATTAGGTATATTTTCTTTAGGTATATATTATTTAATTCATCATATATTGATCTCGTTTACTATATATTTGCGTATTCATTTAGCTTTCAATGCGACGGAAGCGTTTGCACTACGGGCGGTCACGATTCTTTCGGCAGAGTATGGGACTTGCGTACCGGCAGGTGCATAATGTTCATGGAGGGTCATCTAATGTCCATTTTCGGCATCGATTTCTCGCCAAATGGTTTCCACATAGCGACGGCGAGCGAGGATAACACTTGCAAGATATGGGACTTGCGAAAGAGGACTTGCATATACACGATACCATCTCACACCAATTTGCTATCCGACGTCAAGTATCAGAGAACAGAAGGACAATACTTGGTTACCGCATCTTACGATAACACAGCCAAAATTTGGTCCAACAAGACCTGGCAACCTCTAAAGATGCTACCAGGCCACGATGGAAAAGTCATGTCTGTCGACGTGTCACCTGATCATAGGTTTATTGCAACCAGCTCGTACGACAGAACTTTTAAGTTATGGGCCCCGGAATGAAATACCTGACAGAACATTCCCTTCTAACTTTAACAATTTCTATGCTAGAAATACTATAAAATTCTAGATAAATATCGTCTTCTTAACTCATCTTAAAGTGAGTTAAAGTGAGACAAAAAAAATCATCTTAACATCTTTTTATGTAATATCGCATAAACACAAAATGTTTATAGGAATACGTCTAATTTGTTCATCAGGCGTATTATAATTTTATGGAATGTAAATTATTCTAATAATTTCATATTGTAATCATGTAATTTTGTACATGCCAAGTTTTTATAAATATTAATATCTCTGAAAATAATGTTTTTTTTTTCAGTATTGAAAATGTATCTTTTGTTCTCTGAATATATTGCATATTTGATTGCATTTGGAAGTGTACAAGAATATTATTAACGTTCACACTGTGCGTTTCAGAGAAATATGTCTTCCGTGAAATGGGTTTTATAATCGCGTATAAACTTTTGACGTTATTTATAACTGGGGCAGCTGCCTGTTCAATAGCGCACTGCTGTTCTGCCGACGTTTATATCCTCAACAAAGAGTCGCAAACGCGTTAACTGCAGGATCCGAACTCTCGTGCCTAGGTTTGTTGAGTGCATTTCAAGATGAGCGTTGAAAGAGGATGACTCCGCTAGTGTCACGTTATTGACAAACTTTCAGCAAAATTTTGAGAACGACAATACGTCCTTTAAAACTTGTGTCATGAACCTTGCATCACTCTACTGATAGAATCACTCTTTAAGATAGAATATATCTTTTTTCCACTTTTAATTAGATTCAAGTGTCTCTTGAGACGCACGAAGTATATTTTTACGTCGACAAATTTATTATTTCTAGGATTATGATGAAAACTGGGTCGCGTAACTCTAAGTTTATAATAATTTACGATATTAATTTATTAATTTATTAATATCTCATTGTCAGATATGCCAAAGGTTATATCTGTATGAGTAATTACAATTATTCTAAATGATATCACAGCTGACGTATAGCTGTGACATTGAGCTAGGATCACAGCACAAAGCGACGTAAGTTATAAACGTATGTCGTCTTTACTTTCAAGTACATACGACGTTACATTTACGCTAAAACTTGTGCGCTATCTACATTTATGGCTTACGTCTTGCCGTAAGTTATTACGTCGCTTTCTGCTCCGACCCTTATTTCTATTCCGTAAACGCGAAAATTTTCAAATTTATAAATATTTTCGTTGTCAATTATCCCGATTTACTTGTAATAAAAAATTTTGATTCGATACATATGCAATATCAAAAATTTTTAGAAAAGTTACTTTATTTGATTTATTCGTAGTCTATCGCGCCAGAGTTTGTTTCGATCTTGATATCTCTCGATATCCGATATGTATCGTATTTTTCATTCTTAAGGAAGCTCGTTTACAGCGTTTAATGGCGAACGATTCTAGCCAACCCGAGATCACAAAGTTCAAAGTGGTAGGTTCATGCTGATTCTGTGAGAGGTAAGGATTGGTGAAGCCAAGTTCTATTGCCTCCTTCAGCGAAATCCGCGGCCGCGTGTCCGTCGCCTTTCAACATCCATTTCGTTGTTAACAGCCCATCCACTCCCACCGGACCACGGGCGTGGATTCGTGTCGTGGAAATACCGACCTTCAAAGAAACAATTATATATACATAATTTCATATGGATATTATGGAAAAGTATGTTATCTATAATTGATAAGTCACGGACATGTATTGCTTTCTAACTTTGTGCGAACGTATGTTATAATTAGACAAGTGATCTTATAAATGAAACAACCCATACAGCACCAAAGCTTTCAGAAACATTGCAACATTGCAAATTACAATGTAATATTGCACAGACGGTTCAGAGACATTCAATTGTAATATTTCGCCAACAACGTTTCAGTAACCTTGTAGAAATATTATAAAGTTTGCAAAATATATTTGTAACGTATTATAATATTATTTAGATTTTTCAAATTTACATTATTTCTCATGTATTCCAAACGCAGCCTAATAGCGTGTATAGCAACGCCTAATAGTCTCGTGATTTCCGATATTACTGCATGGTATCGGTAGGGTACTTCAGATTTTAATAGATGAAGTTTGAGAATATACAATATAATAGACATCTAAAAGCGATAAGAAAAATTGTTGCAATTTTTTCTTACATATCTCTTGGGTGTCTTTGTATTCGCAAATTTTATTTATTAGGTTGTTCGGAAAGTTTGTTTGAAATTTCCTATCTATTATAAATACATAAGTATATAGAAAATTTAAAACAAACTTTCCGAACAACCTATTAAGTATCCTGCATATTTATATAAATAACGTATAATGAAATCAATATTACAAATACATTGCACCGTGCCATTACTGCAATGTTACATTGTAATACGTCTGAGGGAGGACAATTTCAATGTTGCTTCAAGCTTGCAACAACGTTGCTGAAGCATTTCGCAAGCTCCATGCAATGTTACAATGTTGCAGTGAAAGGTATATGCAATGTTTCTGCAATCTTTCGGTGCTGTATGGGAAACGTTTGTTTGTTTCAGACCGGAGGGTCAATTCTGTATCTTACACCATAGTGAAAATGCTGAAAGTGAGTAGGTTTGTCTCTTTCCAACTTGTCCCCTTAGAAAGAGACAGAGCCGCTCGCTTTTAGCATTTTCACTATACTGTAAGATACAGAATTGACGCCCGGGACACCAGTTTTGTTTTACGGGCTCTCACCTCCGCGCCAAGTCCGAATCTGTAGCCGTCTGCAAATCTGGTGCTGGCGTTATGGAATACACACGCGCTGTCTACCTCTCTCTGAAAATGCATCGCTGTGCTGGTCTCCTCGGTGACAATAGCGTCGGTGTGACTGCTACCGTATTTATGAATATGACTAATGGCGTCGTCGACATCCGTAACTACTTCTATAGTGCATTCGAGTGCGCCGTATTCGGTTCGCATGCTTTTGGCGGCGGGCGGACCGAAGGTCAATAACTTTCTTAGCTTTGGACCGGAATTGATTTTCACCTGGAAAACACACCTTTTGCTGTACACCCGGAGGATACACTCGAAATAAAATTGATATTAAGAAGCTTCGATTGTGGTCAGCGGAGAAAGAATTTTAATGGATGCTCGGGAGAGCGATTCTAAAACATTAGCATATGTATGTACGCGTGGAGCAGTTTCTTCCGTTTATACTCTCCAAGAAAAGATGTGGGGGAAAGTAAATCTTTCTTTTTTTACTCCGACTCAAAGGAGCCAATATATGTCTTAGAAACTCGAGTACGAACTTCCGACATTTTGCGAAATCCTGATGAAAAGTTGTTGATGAAAGTTTCGCTCGCGAACGCCAAGTACGCGAAATACTGCAGCGCGACACGAAACAAGAAACTGAGGGGAAATAGTTTTCTTTAATTTTTAATCCTTTGAATTGCTCGGAGCTATTACCGGCGGATCCTTTGATCCTCTTGAAAAAACTAATTTCAAAAAGTGAAAAACTAAAATGATATGTATGTATATATATATTTACATAGTTATATGTATATTTAAAAAGATTCTTTCAAGCGGAGGAAGCTCACCCCTTCTTTATGCAACATACTGCACAGGTCGCTGAAGAAGCTGCCGCTCATGAGACTCTCGTGTATCAGCAACGTCTCCATAGCGTTGCACGCGGCGGGATAATCGCACTTGGAGTCCTTGATGATCTTCATGGCCTTCGCTACATCCGCGTCCTTGTCGATGTAAACGTGACAGATACCCTCGGCATGTCCCAAGACGGGTATGTGCTTGGATTGCTCCTGAATCGTGCGGACCAAGTCCGAGCTACCGCGGGGGATGATGAGATCTATGTGTTTCTCCATCGCAAGAAGATCGCCCACATCCTCCCTCGTGGACACCAGCGAGATAGCGTTCGATGCGCCGAACTTGTCCAGTGCCTCCTTCACGAGCATCATCAGATACTTGTTGCTGTGGGCGGCTTCCTTGCCGCCCTTCAGGAGCAGCCCGTTGGCGCTGGACATGGCCAGGGCGGCTACCTGAGGCAGGCTGTCCGGCCTGGATTCGAAGATGACCAGCAACACCCCGATGGGCACCGTTATCTGTTGCAATTCCAGACTGTCGGCCAATCTGGTCCTACGGAGCACGCGACCTACATTGTTCAGCGAATCGTCCGCGATCTGATGCAGACCGGAACTCAGAGACTTGAGCTTCGCCGGCGTTAGAGACAGCCGCGACAGCAGGGCCTTCGCCAGATTCTTCTTACTCGCGGCCTCCATATCCAGCGCGTTCGCCGCGAGAATATCGGCTTGTCTGGACTCGAGCAAACTCGCGAGGACCTTGATGCACTCGGCTCGTTCCTCCGGGCGTAACGCCTGCAGCGTTCTACTGCCGAGGCGGGCTGAAATTTTACTCGCTTTTGAATATGATAAGTGTCCAAATATCGAAATAGTTTAACTATAGAATAAGCATTAGCTTAATGAGCGGTATCGCTTTAAACTAATCTTATCTTATCGTAATGCTTCTATATTTAGCTATTTAAATGCACACCAAAGGATTCTTGAATAATCTTCAACTCCCAAAGTCGGAGGTTGAAACATTACCATTTTCAACATCAGTGATTTTTTTATTGGCCATATCTGGCAATTAAAATTCTTATTGCGAAAAATATTACCCCAGCCAGGGCGTCACGGATTGTAGAGAGGTCTCAGGTTCGAATCCTGGCTGGGGTAATATTTTTCGCAATAAGAATTTTAATTGCCAGACACGGTCGACAAAAAAATCACCGATGTTATCAATTTATTAATTACTACTGGCGAGTTCAAGAATATTCTTACTAGTAAGCTATCAAACTAAGCCTGATCCATCAGGAGATGCACAAATTTTGTCATCAATTAATAAAAGTTCTGACGCTCAAATTACTATAACTCAAGATGAAGTAATGGAGAAGTCATATGGCGCTTTTTCACCCGAGTTGTTGAAATTGGTAGAAACGCAAAGATTTTCTCGATTAACACGTAAGACAAAATTACGTAAAACAGTGGCATTCGTGGCGCAGAGGATTGTGCGCTGGTCTGGTAATCCGAAGACCCGGGTTCAAAACCAAACAAAAACATTGTTGGTTTTTCGTTCGATCGCCACATAGCGAAGTGGATATAGAGAGAGGTGTTATAAGAGGTTTGGGCACGTTCCTTCAAAAACGCCTTGTAACCCTCCCAGTCAGAAATGACTCGTAGATCGATGTCAAAATGACGTCGAATCGACGTCAATATGACGGTTTCGATGTCGATATGACGTCGTTTCGATGTCGATCGACGAGTCATTTCTAACTGGGCTAAGGGGAATCAATAAAATGTACTAGTTTAGGACTTCAAGCGATTCACATAAGTATTGACTTAACAAAAAACAAATATTGAAGAGAATCAAGGAAATCGATTCTTCTTTGTCAAGCCATCCAAGTTCTTCGAAAAAAAACAATATTGAAGAGAATCTGTCACATTGGATGGCTTGACAAGAGAGAATCGATTTCCTTGATTCTCTTCAATATTTGTTTTTTATTACGTCAATACTTATATATTTTATTATGAATACTCGTTGATTTAAATCGAAAGTAAAAATTAATTTATGTTCGATTACAGTGCTGCGAGTTAGTTGCACATTTCGGGCAGATTTTGTAGGAGACGCCTGCTGTATATTGACCGTAGTGGGGGGACAGTGGGCGTTTATCTACGAAATCTGCCCGAAATGTGTAACTAACTCCGAGCACTGTTCTATTGCTATATATGTTAATTGCTCAGCGAGCAATTGTAGTTCTGAATGCACCTTATACTGACATGGCCATACTGTTTTGCTTATTAACCAGAAATATTTTTGTGTGATTTTTTTGTCGACCGCGTCTGGCAATTAAAATTCTTATTGCGAAAAGTATTACCCCAGCCAGGATTCGAACCAGGGACCTCCCTACAATCCGTGACGGGCGTCTTAGCCAGCTCGACCACTGGAGCTGTGATAATTTAATACTATTCGCAATAACATGTATATTACTTAAGATGTTAGATTACCATTTTCGGCGACCACTTCGACAGGAGTGGACGAGCCGGTAGCCTGCGTGAAGAACGTTCCGATCTTCCTGCCCGACATGATGCTCTTAATAGCCTTCTCCTGCGTGCCGTTGCAAATAACCACCGCAACGCCACGGTCCATTGCCCAGAGCGCGGCGTTGACTTTCGAGTCCATGCCACCTGTGCCCACCTTCGACTTCTGCCCAAATTTGATGGTACCTCTCAGATCAGAGCTGAAGGTGTGCAGCATCTTGGCGCCGTCCTGCCAGGGTGGTAGATTGTATATGCCGTCAACGTCGCTCATGAGGACCAACAAGTCCGATTGGACCTCGGCCGCAAGCATAGCCGCCAGGGAGTCGTTGTCCTTAATGGATATTCCGCGTCTGCCGCCGCCGCCGGCGACCTCCTCGTCGACATGCGGTGGCGGGGACACCGCGTCGTTCGTGTTGATGATCGGCACGATGTTCAGGCTGATCAGTTCGCTCAGCGTGCTGAACAGATTCTTTCGCGTCTCTTCGTTGTAAAAGTCCGGCTTGGTCACCAGCACCTGGGCGATTTTGACTCCGTACTGGGCGAACATCGCGTCGTAGAGGGACATCAGGCCTGACTGACCCACCGCGGCGGCTGCTCTAGGTTCCAACATAGTTCCTACATGAATATCAGAGATATATAAGTTATCTAACGTCTTTTCTCTTATCTCGAAGATGTGCTATCAGTTACGAACAGTCCTACAGCGCGAGTTTGCGACTTTTGGAATTGTTAAAAATGACTTTCGAGAAACGCCACGACGAAGAAAGTAAAGAAGAAAGAGCGGACGATCGGCAAGACAGTGAGGAAAGTTGCTCTCGACGTGCACATCGATCGGAAGCCGCACTCGACAAGATTCACAGGACAAATAGAATGCCACGGGAATTCATCGCCGGGCAGTTGTTAGCTCAATCTCTCTCTATATATATATATATCTATAGACAGACCGGACATTGTAAACTTGGCAGACTGCCCAGACAGATATTTGAAACTACTATCGGAACGTTAACACCTCCCGCTTGGGTATTTTCACAGACAGTTGAATTTATGGACCATCGATTTGTTTCGCCTTTCTCGAATCTTCGAACGGTTATTTATCATCTCTCGAGAAAAAGAGCTCATTAACGTCTCTTCAACCGCCTGACAGTGCCATTTATTGAAGAAACTTTTGTTATTCTTTTTCACTGTACACTTCGAACACGCGTCATTTTTCCCCGGTGGCTCGGTAATTCTTTAATAACTAGATGGATATTAAAAATGTATAGCCCAAGATTGATTCGTACGCGCCGGTCTCGCAAAAATATTAATATTCCGCCCGTGAATTGTTTACGCTATATTGTCCCTGCTGTCCACACACGTACGGCGCACTAAATCAATGAATCGTTAGTGAGGAATAGCCTTGATTGCAATACCAATAAGAGCGTTTCTATCACGTGTATCAGTGGAGAGGAAATTCGTTACTGAGGAAGTTATTGTCTTCGCGAGGATCGATGCATATTAAATGCTCCCATGAAATATTCGTCTCCATACGAGAGTAACGCGACGAATAAATGATCAGGTATACATTCGTGCTATGCCGGCAGCAAAATTGTATTAGCTGTTTCAAGTTAATATTTATCTCTTTTTCTTTCGTCAATAAATAGCAGACCTATTTAACGCCAGTGAATTCATTTCAAAGTTAACACACATTTTATGTTATAGATATAATTCATTCTGGCTAGAGACATGCGATCACGTTATGTAAAATGCTCTTTGAGATAGCCATTGTGTAATAACAACGTTGCATCTTGTAACATATGCAAAATGACCATCCATTTTGCGCAAGCCACACCGACGATCACACGGGCTTTAACATATAATACGTGTAATAATGCTACTTAAACTCGGGGCGGAAATTGCATTAATAAAACAAGCGGCATTTTTCAAGCTTCATTATAATTCCTTTATGCACGTGACTCGGCGGTAAATACTCTTAATTAGAATTACGAGAGCATTATTGATTAGGGCCGTAATACGACCGGTTCCCTCAAAGGGGAATAAACGTAGACTGCAAGATTATCGCATTCTGGTCACAATTACGTTAATGGCAATTTATCCGCGTACGTATACACGAAATTCGCCTCTTATCACTGGTGCGTGAAAATATTAATTAAAGCAGGCGTTTATTGAGTGCGTCGCACCCTAGATATTGCGTCCGTTGCGCGAGCGTGTGTGCAGGAGAACATGAAATTGGCACGGTATACTCCCGCGCCAATTACCGCGTCCGACATTAGCGTTTCAGCGGCCCGTCTCAGGAAGAGTAAAGGAGATGAGGTTCATTACTTATGAAATAGGTCAGCGTGAATTTAAGGACTTGTGATCAATAGTCTTTGAGTATGCGAGATCGCAGCGCCCGCTGAAATTGTAGAATAGACCGCATTCTTGCGAGATTACGGTGCGAAGAATATCTCTATTGTTGTAAAGGACAACGTTAGATAACTAACTGCCTTAGTAATAATTTTATTAAATGGTCTGTAAAACGGTCCAGGAATAAAATGCTCGAGCACAAAGTAGGAAATAAAATTTCGAATGGGCAAGCATACCTGCGTGTTCCCGCGTGTGATCCGTGGGGCTCAGGGTCTCTCGCATTGACATGGACATCAGAAGCTCCTGGGTGAGCTTCTGCTTGCCAAAGGCGACCGCCCCGCTGGTCACCATGATGCATTCGCGCCCGTCGATCTGACATTCGGCCACTTGCTCCACGATAGACGCGAGACGTCCGAGGGCCAGGCCGTGCTCGTCCTCCCTCGTTATAACGGCGCTGCCGAGTTTGATTACCAGTCGCCGAGCGTATTGCAATTCGCTGCGTTCCGCAAAGGTTTGTTGCCTTCGCGGTCTGTCCGATGTTTGCAGCTCCCTTCGCACGTACCCTTGCGACATGCCATTACTCTAGAAAAGTTTTTCGTGATAAACGAGATAAAATCGTGGTGAGAAAACAGCTGTGGGGAAGCAAGAGAGGCAGAGAGAGAGAGAGAGAGAGAGAGAGAGAGAGAGAGAGAGAGAGAGAGAGAGAGAGAGAGAGAGAGAGAGAGAGAGAGAGAGAGAGAGAGAGAGAGAGAG